TTGCCAGAGCCCAGATCAGTTGACAATCAAGATGTAGAGCAAGACCTTTTCATTAATACTTCCCAAAAGAGTCATAAAGATGCCTTTTAATATGCTATTGTGACTAATTATTTACTTAATCACATTAAATTAAATAAGAAACCATATTGTGAATTCCCATATTTTTAGACATGACATACATGGTTGAGAAACAATTTTTTCTTTTTTTTTCAAATCCATCAAAAATCTCAGAGAGAAGCTGTATATTAAGAAGTTGAATGGAAAGATGACTGAAAACACAACAGACACACAATGTTTACATCTGTAATGAGAAAAGCAAAGAAAATGTACAGTAATGAGGGGTAATTTAGAGAATAATCAAAGTAATATTGTAATGACTACAACCAGCATATCATGCCTGAAGGGAAATATCCTGAAGGGATATCTTGCCTAAAGGGATATGGTCTATACCACAAAAGCTTGGAGCCATTGAAACCCCTAGAGAAAGATGATAATGGCTGTACATAAAGTATAATTTATTTACAATTTGAGGAAGGCTTCCATCAAGTCCCTAATGACAGGCTCACTAGTTACATTAAAAGCTGTGCTGATTCTGATAAAGGCATGAAGTCAATAAAGTAGGCTAAAGGAATCTGCAGTACAAGGGGGAAATGGATGTTGCTTACTAGGCAAGAATAGAAATAGAAACATGGATAGCAACGTAGACTTAAAAAATACATATTAAAAGAACTCTCAATACATGATCTCATGACAGCAGACAGATTGTAATGATTGCTAATGAGGAAGCATGATCTAATGTGAATCTAACAGCTCTATTATCTGGGAAATATTGAGAGACCATTACAGAGATGCATTTGTCTATCTTTTCTAGTATTTTATTTTATTTTTGCTTAGTCTTTTCTTAGGCTTTTAACTGTTTGTGGGAAAGGGAAATTGAAGGGTCTTTTAGGTGTAGAAGTCTTCCAGCTATTTTTTGCAGCGCCTCTGGATGAATGAGACATCTGTAGATAAATACATTTGTAAGGATAAAAGAAGGAGAAATTTTTAAATTACTGAAAAGGACAATATACCATGTGGAATAAATAAAAATAACAGGAAAGTGAAAAATAGTGTGGAAAAATAATTTTTATAAGAAATTAGTCTTTTGACTTTCATTAATATAAATCAGGAGATAATCCACTGATGCAAAACTAGTGAATAAAGAGGAAATCACCACTAAAAAAATACACATTTGGAAAAGGTTGCTACAATACCAAAAGAGAAAATTTGCCAGCTGTGTTATAGAAATTTTTAGAGTTCATATTAATTTATGCTTATTTCTTGTCACATTTGTGGGGATTTAAAATAAGCTTTATTTTTGTTGAGGGGGAAAAAGCCAGCCACAGAAGTGCTTTTTCCTGTAAATATTTTCAAACTACCACCATTGCAGCTACAGCCTATTCATCTGAACTTGTGGAATATTTAAGAGCAAATCTTTGCCTACAAAGGGGATCTCCTTGAGATAAAAAAACGTCTTTTTGCACTCTTTGGTTGGATCAAAATTTCTAGGGCTTGTGGAATTGAATAGTTCAACAAATTAATTAATTAGAAGAGAACCATCAAGGTTTTTATCTATGGTTTTGTTTTCGTTTTTCACAACTCAATACTTTTCATAACAATCAGCACAAAAAACTTCTTTACCTGCTCACTCTACATGATATTTCTTTCAGAGCTCTGGAAATGAAACCTTACACCATCTGCCTTATGTGACCTATAAATTTCAGGACTGAAGCATCATTTTCAGAGTCCATGAACTGATCTCTAATTGTTTTGTGGAGAATGTGTGGTTCCTCCTTCAGCTCAGGAGGGTACCTGCAGGCCAGAAATTCCTAAACAGGACTAAGGATTGGAAGATCCTGATAGGGAACCAATCAACTCTGTGGAGTTGGAAATAGTGGGTTTGAAGCTCTATCTTCCCAAAGGGAAGATTTAAAGGCATGTGCTTACTTTACAACCTAGAAAGGATTTAAGACTCTACATTCCTTATAGAGATACAGGTATTTTTCTGAAGTTTTGTATGCTCCTAATGGATGCATATTCCTCTCTGAATTTCCTATACTCCTGTGTTTCCACTCTGGAGTATCTGCTATAGGTGCCATAATGAGATTCTAAACAATTCTCACGCATTAAATACAGAATTCAGAGACCTCTTAAGGCTCTCAATACTGGCCTAAGAAGGAGGCATCTAAGGATTAATAAATAACTACAACACATAGCCTACACCCATCTATGATTTTTATCTAATCCCTCAGAAATATAAGCAGGACCTGAAAACCTAAGGTGTTCAAATGACTACATCTTGACCTTTTTTCCCTTGAGCAATCAGTAAACTTGAGGTAGAAAAATGCCAAAGGATGGGCTAAAGAGCAGGAAATTGTGTGTGTGTAGCATGAGCTGTAGTCTTTAAGAGGAAAGTAGCATTTTTCCAATAAGGTTTTAGTCACAAAACAAAAACAAAAGCTTCAATTTAGAATTATAAGCAACTGTGAAAGGAAAAGCAGCAGGATATGACAAAGAGAAGTTTGTTCAAAGGTAAAGGGACAGGTTGGAAAGACCCACTGATTCTAAAATTCAGAAAATGGAGAGCACGAAGGAGATTGGGGTTTCAGAGGAATGAAATGTAAATGAAATATTGACTTCTCATGGTAGTAGAAAAAGACATTACACAGATAGTCTAGTTATCACATGTCTATGACTTCTTCACTCGTGAATGCACTCTTTGGGAGCAGTAAGACAGCGGGAAACAAGGGAGATATTTATTTGAAGCTGTAAAAGTTGGGAATAAGAAATACTGTAATCTTGAACATCCATCAGAGCATAATTGCTGTTTTCCATTTAGTGGCAAAGTATGACTTTCCAAGGACTGCTGGAAGTATCAACATTTCACAAGGACAGCTCTGATGATGAGTGATGGTCCTGGTGTCCCAGTCAGAAGCTTTAATATCTTTTTTTCTTGCCTTGCCTTCATCCTTTGCAATGCCATGCTGCCAGTTATAAAAGCTTGGTGCAATCCCCAGGGTTTATAAAGCAAGTGCATTAGGTGTAAGGAGGGTAAGGCAGACATTGGCTTTGGCAGTTTGTGTGAACTGATGAAAAGCAGCAGCTAACTCCCACAATGGAGTAACAAAAATGTACTCCCCCTTTGAATCACTATTCAGACAGTACCAGAGCAACTAATCTGAGACAAAAGTTCACCATGTTTGTATACATTCACATACCTATCATAGACTTCCACTAGACAATCAATATTTTCTTTAGTTTTCTGGTTTTGCATTAATTCTGTACCTAGCTCTACAAAGTTAATTATGGTTTAAAAACCTGAGACTAATAAAAAGATAATTGAATCTTCTATGATGAAACTGTACACAAAGTGAGAGGCTGTGAATTTAAGCACTTGGGATTCTGACTTTGACTTTCTGGAACTGAAATCTCATCAGGAAAGGAGAACACAATTAAAACAGCTTTCTCTTGCACTGGCTTATTCACATGAAGTACAAGTTGCACACAGCAGGAGAATCTCAGTCTAGATTAGCAATACCATTTTTTCATAATGTACAAGAAGAGTAAAGATTATGCAATTAAACCATGATGCAAGCAAGCACAATCACTTAGTACTGAAAAAAACCCCAAAAACCTCACCTAGTTTTAGACAGTAAAATAAAACTGCAAATACTTAAACACTCACTTTAAAAATCTTTATTCTTCTAATAACACAGCTTCTTCTTACAGCACTACTATGAATTAATCTTCTGCTCTCTTGAACATAAGCTATGATGTATGTAAACGCTAATAAGATCTACAATGGAGTTTTTACTAGATTCATTACAGTTTGCTGTCAAGTGGTCAAATCCACATAATTATTTTCTACCAATATTTTTGTGTGCATTCCCTCTGACTGCATACCACAGCTAGTGAATGTATGGTATATTTAAAGGTCTTCAGCAAGTCATTAAATAATTATTATAAACAAAACTCCTTTGCAGCAAGGTGAAATATAATAAAATCAAGATTTTTTTCAAAAATCCTTCTGATTAAGAGGAATTTGAGCCAACAGAAATAAATACATTCTGATGATATTCATGAACTAGTACTGAAAATGTTATTTAGTTGCAAAATAAGATCTTCACTGAACTATAAAAACAGTCTGACAACCCATAATTCAATTTAAAATAATTATTCCTTCACCATCCCTGTTTGTATCAGGCAAAGTTCTTGAATGATCCTCAGCAGCTTTTTGACATGCCATGAAGATATGTCTCCCTTTTTTTTCCCTCCAGAATACTTAGTCATAATGTTTCAGAGGCCGCTTTGCAAGGATCCTGTACATGTAAACACAGGATTCTTTCACTTCTTTCATTTGAGAAATTACAGTGCCATGAAACACTAATTCTGGAGCATGCAAACAAACAGTGGTGTGTACTCTAAAATCCTTATCTAACTTGACAGCAAGTCTCAAAAATGTGGACAGCTTCCACATGTATTTTTCTTCACCATTGGCTGCAGGTATGGAGACCCATTGGCTAAATAAATCCCAAGGAAAGACAAGAATCCTTAGTGTGTAAACTGCTTCTGGTTAATGGGCTTGAATGGTTCACAAAGCCTACAGAATTGTCTGCCTCTGACCTTAAGACAGTCTTAAATCAATTTAGTCTGAAAGTATTCATCTCTTGCTGAACAGTGACCCAGAGACTGATTCTAGCTCTCTGGAGATTAGCCAGACCAGCTTGCATTCAACAACATCTCCAGTGCTTTTCTTTGGCTGGCAATCTCAGCAGAAAATGCTCCAGCACATTTAACACACGCACTATGTGTGTGCATGCACTTCCACAAGTGCACAGACACTTCTGATGCTTTTAATGTTTTAAGAGTTCAATATTATAGCAACAATACAGTATCAGTTATTCATTAATAACCTTTATAGATGAGAATAAATGCTTGAAAACAGAAAACAAGCCTGTTACCTTTTAAAGGTTCCTTTCCTGCATGCCTCTTTGCACATGTTGTCCTTGCACACTGATGCACAGCTCCCCAGAGGGTTACAATGCAAGCACCCAGCATGGTGAGAACCCTGAAACACAGAAACTGCAGTGTGAATCATTTTGTCACACCTTACATGTTATGACCTCTTTGTGCTTTCCTCCATTTTACAACAGACCTAAACCTCTGTGGTGCAAATCTGACACAACAAAACTAGTAAGGGAATACAACAAAGAAAGATTTTAGGGATCAACACAAAAATACTAGTTTCTAGTATTTTTGTATTGATGAATTCCCCAGTTTCCATGGTAAGAACTGCCCATGCTTCTTTGCAAAGGAGACCATGGCAAATGATAGCTGTATCTTTGTCAAGGTAATTGCTAAAAGACTTCCAGTAGATTCCCCTACTCTGATGTGGTCTGTTTCAGCACCACAGTAGCTTCTTAATAAGGGTGCTTTTTTCTAACGACAAAGCAACCTGCAAAGCCACAAGACTTATGAAGGACAGGCTTTATTTACTGACGAGCTGATAGCACTCTGCATTGCTACAGTTTTGTCATGGCTCATACTGATGAGTCAGCTAACATGTGGCTGCAGCGACTGGAACCGGAGAACAAATGCAGTTTTGAGAAGTGTTGCGTTGCCTCCCTCCATTTAAATAAGCCAAAATAAGAATTTAAAATATCCACAGCCATCTGCCCCTGTGTGGGCAGTCTGTGGGGCTAAATAGCGATAGTATCTGAGAGGAAGGAACAGGTTCATAAACAGTGATTTCATGAAGTAAACATGAAATTGAGTAAAACAACAAAAACCCCTGCACTGAAATTTAGACAATATAAAGAGAGACAACATTTGACATGGATGAACAGCCCAGAGAAACGGAGTACATGCATATAAGAAAGTGTAAGTACACTCTTGAGTGATGGAAGCAGTCAAGTTCACTCTGGAGACATAGTTGCCATTTGATTTATCCAAGTTACAGAGATGTGTACGCAGATATAAAAGCTGCAGCAGCTGTGAAAGCACTTAAGTACAATACTTAAAAGCACTGGGATGTATCAAGTGGTACAGAAGTAGGAAACCGGTATTTACACCAGAGAGCTGATCAAAACCAAGAAGGCTGGAGACAGAAATTAGCACTATTTACGAGAAGTCTATGGTCATATTCACCTCAGGAACCAAATGGCCGGTGTCAGCCTGTGCCATTCATCTTGAGGTGGCTATAATAAGTGATAATGATGAATGTAATCCACACAGCCAACAGCTTTGCTAGCAAGGTAAATCATATTTAGCACTCTCCATTTTTGAAGTATTTGCCCTAAATATTAATTTACAACCTTCCATAGTTCTTATCTTATAGGCCAATATTTTTCATCAACTAATTTTTAGCCCTTATATTTTCATATCATTCTTCCGGATACCATTAAGCAGCATGGAGCTCACTGAAGCTTTTTAGATGTTAAGCATTTCCTGTGAAATGAATTTATATTGCAGTGAACTAGACTTGGACTTCAAACAAAAAAAATATTTCCCAAAGAGCAACTTAAATATCTGAATAAAGATGGAGACATTTCCTAAAAGGGGGAAACAAGACAGAAGAAGAAGATATAATTACAGATACCTTTTCATATTGTCTGAACCTACTTTTTAGATGTCCACTACCAGTTCTCACAAAATACTCCAAAAAACATAAACATCTTCCATTACACTCATACAACTGCCAAAAAATCCCTGATCTAGAGGCATCATCTTTGGACTCTATAGAATTTAGAGAACTTTTATTTCTTTCTATCAAGTAGTTTTTAAAAAGCATATATAGTGTAAGCAGTCACAATGCCCTGTGGCAAAGAAGTTTAACAGCTTAGATTTTCTTTGTGAATAGAAACAATTTTTGTTTACCCATTACTTGATGCAATTTTAGTTTAAGGTTGGTATAGACAGTGGATAACTACTCATCTTTCTGTATCTGGAACAACAAGCTTTTTTTACATTCTTCTCTCTGCACATCTTTTAATTTCTCTCATTACAGATTGAAAATTCCCACTTGGTTAATTATTAGCTCACATGGAAATGGTTCCATCCCTTACATCATCCATGTTGAGCATGATTCTTTTTTTTCCTAATTTCTACTTCATCCTGTTTTCAATTGAAAAAATTGGTGCTCCACCCAGTGCTAATGTTGCAGGTATAAATGGGATTTGCAAAGCTGTGTTATAATTTCTCAGTTTGCTTTCTAATCTTTCCCTAGTAAATCCTAATATGCTATTCTTTTGGACCATTTACTGAACTACCTTTTCCATTTAAGCTGCTATAAATCCAGCATCTTCATTCCAAATATTAAGATATCCTGTAATCAATATAATTGATGTTCTTCCATGTTCTTCCTTAAGACATATTCTTAAAGAATGATCAAAGTATTATCTTCTATATCTAACCAAAAAGAAAATAGCCAAATGACCTCTTTCCTTGCTAAGAAATATATTTTACCTTGATATTTAATTTGAACACAGTAATAATTTTAATTTATTTGTTTAGGAATTTGGCTTTGTTTACATAGACCTTCCTATATATAATACAGACAACTGAATATACCAAAGATGTCAACTTGGAATTTGCAATACTTTTTCTTTAAATAATCTTCTATATGGTTTATTCCTAAAAAAAAATCATCACCTTAAAAAATTGCACAAGGAGAATATTTTGTAATATTTCTCTCCTCTGGTGCACTTTACCTGCATTCATTACTGTTACTGTGGACTGTAATTTCTAATTCAGTATTTAAATGGACACCCCCCTATAGGAAGGATGCTACATTTATTCTCTTGCTTATTTTGCACAGGTTCTGGAATTTTGATGAGACATCTTTCTTAATCCTTTTTCCTTCTTCAAGGCCTAGAGTTTCACCTATTTATTCCTACCATTTTGACAAGAATAGCATGCCTAAGTTCTCTGGAAAAAGAACTCCATGAGTTCTTTTCACCAAATTCTGCCTCTTGAGATTACACAGAATCACTGAGTATACATTTCAGTTAAACCATTGGAATTTTAAAGAACAGCAAATCTTTTAATCACATTACATCTAGACAGCATCTGAAAGCTTAAAGTGTTTGATCACCAGGTCTTTGGACACTTTAGTTGACACTGAAGGCATGGATCACAATTTGGACCAAGCATCTCTGAGTCCAAGCTGCATTTGGAAAGGCTACACAGCAGGGACAGTTGGAAAGGGAATTTTGCACGAGCGGGAACTGACCCTGTTATTGCCAGTACACACATCATATACAGAGGAGTTACAGCAGGACATTACTGGTGATTAAATGAATTCTTAAAGCAATGACTATACATCAGTGTCATAGCTAAACCCAGTTGTATAGCTATGCAATAAGACAAAATAACATAGTTCCTTAATCTTATGTCCAATAACAGTATGATTCAGTGTAAGATAATGTATCAAATAGTGTGTCCTACTCTTTTTGGACATTAATCTTGACAGAAAAATCTTTAGCTTTGTATGGATTAGTCAATGCAAATTCATTAACTACTTGTCATGCTTCTAATACAATCTGCCCTGACCCCAAAGACTTGACAGTGTAGTGTTAATCAAATCTACAGAAGTTCCCATACAGACAAAGCAATCTGTTTCAGGTTAGACAGATTATTTTTCCCTGAAAAAGGCAAAAAAAGAGATTGGAATGAAGTATGTGAGAAAAATGTTTAAAAGTATAACTCCACTTTATATTTTTCAATTCCTTTAATATTAATAACATTTTTCATAGTTTTTTGTATTGAAAAAGAAAATAAAAAACAAGGACAGTTTTAGTTTGGTTATTTTTAAGTTGCGTCTAGAAAATAGCCAGTTCTTTAAGGTAGCAAATATACCTTATAAAAAATGAAATGAAAACCTATTTTAATTTCAATGAATATAGTTTTTTACCCCCAAAAATATTTGTGAGAAATGGATATAAATTCACCCTACACAGCTATTTACTATGTAATTCTTTGATCTTATTAGAAAAAATAATGGTCACTGAACCCAAAGATACATGAAAGAATGGGATAAAAAGGGTTCACAATATCTGTCTGCCTTGAATTCATAAACCCAAAAGATGAGATACTCATTTGCAACTGGATTAATGAGCAGCATCTCTTAGCTCAATTTTTTCTCTCACTCTTGCAGTCCAAAAATATAGTAGCCCTTTTATTTCTGTATCTGATTATTGCAAACTGTAGCATTAACAGTCTTTAACAAATACAGCTTACAGCCATATTGTAGACCAATCTCTGTATTTAGTTTTCACCTGCAATTTTTAAAAAATCTTTAAGCAATCATCAATAGAATTTTTCTAATCAGTTTTCTCAGATAGACCCATAAAGAAAAGTAAATAATGACCTAATTATAAAAATAATTCAATTTAAAACAAAAATGTATTTTTACACTTTGGTGTTAGCAGCAAATTTCAGTCAGAATAACCATACTCATCAGCTTTCCCCTCAGGCTTGCATGTGTGGTTGCTGGTGCCAGGCATTTTGTTTTATCTATCTGACCACAACTTGATATATAAAATCTTCCTAGTTCAATTGATTTAACTATTAAATATTTAATTAATTAAATCTTACTCTTCCCTTACCCAAACCTTACTCTTCTCAAGTGACACATTTTAAGACTGAAAACTTTCAGACTTGCTAGCATAGCAACAGCTGTACATACTCAGTGTCATAGAAGCCCTCTGTTCCAGATGCAGCTAATCACCAAGGAAATATGTCATCAGGTACACCACTACAAGTTTGATGCTCTTTATTCAATTGTAGCTATACCTGTTTAGACAAACCAATTATGAAATAAAAGTAAACTTCTGAGCATACTTCAGTGAACAGTCAACAGAAATCTACATGCAATATGTATTAATGATATATATAGTAATTTATAATACTTCTATTATTCCTATAATCTGCCTTTGAAAGGAAGCAAATAATATTTCTCTTATTGTTCCTGGAAATTAAAGGAACATGAGAAGGATTTCAGTGCAGAATGATTTTTATAATCTTTATAATCCCTATTATATTTAGAGGCAAATATCATAGAGACTTTTCATATGTGAAATCAAGCACTCAAAAGTATGTATGTGAATATCTTAATTGTCATGAAGAGCATTCTGCAGTCAGTAAGGAATATGAAAAATGGAAGCTCTGTATTGCCAGTGAAACAATGCTCAGTATAAGCTCTCATGTTATTGTAACTCCAGAAACTATTTGATTAGGGTGATATGATATTTCTTCTGCCAACTATTAAAGGAAGAAATAAATACTGAGATAAACAAAATACTGGTTCGTAAGTTATGTATAAAGCCTTGTAGATAAGGATAAAATAAAAACCTGAATATATTACAAAATATTTTAACTTCTGGTGGTTCAAAATCCATAATTAAGATTCCATAATTTTGTGCAATAGCACACCAGAGACACCTGATAGCAAATCCAAGCATCATTTTAAAAGATATGAATAATACAAATCAAATAGGCTAATTTCCTCATTTTACCTCTAGTCCTCACCTGTGACAATACTGAAATTACACTTTGGCCATCTCCTGGATCTGGGAAAGCAAGACTAACAATTAAGGCTATATTTTCCAATACAGATTGAGAAAACTGGCTTATACCTGAGATCATATAAGTGAAAAGAATATGTAAAGAAAGAATAAAATAGAAAGTCTATGATATCAAAGCTGTCATGAGATTTGTTGGCTTAAAAATTTTATAATGTAGTATAAACGATGACATGTCAGGATGGTGTGAGGAGATTAATTACCAGAGGAAAAGTATTGAAATAGTGACAGATATGTTGGAGTTGTAAAGGAACAGTAGGTACAGGAAGCTGGTCCTGAAATATCAGTTAAACTAAGTTAGTATGAAGAAATTCTTGTCTATAGCTTCTCTTTCTCTTGAACCAAACATCATACAATTACCTTTCAAGACATGTGCAGATCCAGTCATCTTCATATCCAAGTTCTAAGCTTTTTTCATAGAGACAGAAAACTTGACAATATAAAAAAAGATGTTGCAAAAATCTGAAACAAGTGTTATTTTAGACAAACTGGTTTCACTAAAAAATCAAAACACCATTTTAAAACAATTGCATGGTAAAAGAATTAAGGACCTGCTTGCAGGTGACTTGCAAATAGCAAAAGAATTATTGCAACAAATACCTACCAAACTATTTTAGTTTTAAATACCCGGTTATAGTTTGCTCTTTGATGCATTCGGCTACTGCGGAATCCACTTTTTGTTTGGATTTTTGTCTGTTTATTCACCTCTCTGTTTTTATTTCTTTTATACAAATATTTATCTCTTTTTCCACATAGGAATGTTTTTGGATTTATCTTCATAACCAAAGGCCATATTTTTAAAGTAATTTCATTAGTTTCTGACTTATTTAGAAAGTTACCACCCCTCCTCCCCTTTTTATGCTAGCTCCTAAATACCTTTTTTTTTAATATTCTGCTAGTTCTATTGGCTATCTTAAGACAGTTTCCTCTGACTGTAATTCATCCAGAGATTTGCCTAGAAGGGATTAAATGTATAAATCTCAACCTTGTTATCTCCTAATTTCATGGTTTGTTTTACCTTCAAAAAGAAATGTCTTTAAGCCCATGAAAGTAATTTCTTGCATAGTCATTAGATCTGCACTTAATGACATGCATGGTTTTGAAGGTTCTCTACCAGATTTTCTTTACTGCTGAGAGATATCTTTGACACTGAGGTGAAGCCATAGCTAACATGTAGGCATTTGGGGATTTCTCTCCTGAGCATTTCAAAGATCTGTGTAACACACACCCAGATGATGGGGATGGGACTGCTGCTGCATGTTGAAGGTATATACCAGACTTCACATTTAGATTAGCCAGATGTTAAGAAATGAAAGACCAGTGCCAGATAAGACTATCAAATTGCTATATATAACTTAGCATCTTAATACACTGCAGCATTGTGCTTAGAAGTAATAAACGTCACACAAGTCTTTTCTGAAGTATTTAGGTTATCCAGGACTACTTTGTGCCCAGTCACTTTGGCTCTTTTGAAAAACTTTCCCAGAATAATTTAGGAAAAGGCTTTAATAACCAAAAGCAAATAAATTATAACATAATAATCTTTTTCAACTAAACTGAAGCAAGTAGACACCATTGTCCCAGTTATTTAACCAAACAGCTTGCTTAATTTCTGAGTTGAGAATGGCTAAGGATTCCCTTTGTCTTTTACCGAGACACCCACTCTGAACTCTCACAAAGAAAATACCAGGGCAGGAAAATTGCTGTCTCCTGTCACCCTTTTGCTACACAAATTGCTGTCACATACTCATTCTCTATCAAAGACCAGGGACTCAGTCTTGCATATTGAGAAAAGGTCTTGGTCTCTAAGCACAGAGATCAGCAAACTGACGCTAATAAAACAGCTCTTCTAACCTGGAGTGCACTTAACTTTTAATAAATTAGTTTGCTTCTCAAGAAAATGATTTTACATGCCTGGTGTTTCCTTTGACTTTTTAGTAACTCAGACATATCTGACACCTACCTTTTCCTTCTATTTTCCTGCTGTGATATCACTGACTGAAACAGGGTATTCCCTACTAGAGTAAGTACAATGAAAGAGGATGAAGTCATCATGATGTAGATACTAATGTAAACCAGAACAAGGAACTTCTGCTTTGAGAAACTAAAGGGTCTAAAAACTAGAAAGTCTAAAAACTTATTATATTACATTCATTAAAAGTATGAAACTTTAAAAATACATTCTTCTCTCAATATCCATCATGAAACGAACAGTGTGCTCCTACTCTACATCCTCAAAGGAAAAAAGAAGTTGTCATCAAAAATAATTTCTAAAAAATTTTACAATAATTAATTTTGATACCAAAATAGGTATAAACTCCATAGAGACATTTCCGGGTTTATTTTTGTGGAGGAAAATAAAATTTATCTCTGTTTCACTCTCTCTAATGTCTATAGATGCACTTTCAAAATATTTTTACTATTTATTTAAATATATCTAAAATAGATTAAATTGCTAGCAAGCGATAGGCATTCTTATATTTTCTATAAAAATACAGTAGAGTCAATATTAATATATACAAATAAAATAATAAAATAACAAACAATTGAGTTTAACATATAAAATGCTTCCATTTATTTTCTGCTGCATTCTGTGTTCTCATATCAGTCACCAGTGCTGAAAGCAAGTATCTTAAGTCTTTTTCTTCTTATTTTAGGAAATCATCTTTACCCCATTTAAAACATACTATTTTGTTTGAAAATAAAACAAAACAAATTGTAACTTCAATATAAAAACCAGTGTTTTGAAACCACAATGACTCTGCAACGTCACTGTTAATAAGTCATCCATCCCCACAGAAAAAATATAATCGAAACATCCTTTTCTACAAGGAATTTGAAAATAACGGGGGGAAAATGGTGGTGGAGTGGAAAATTATTAAAGAAAAATAGAGCCATTTAGAAGCAGCAAAGCATTTCATATTGCACCAATCAAACTGATTGCTTCAGAAGAGCAGGTACCTCACAGGGGTCCAGCATTTACCTTCACCCTATGGGCACTTGTACTACTTTTTGGTAGGGCTTATATCTGCTGCAATGTAAAAGCTATATTTTAATAGCTACTCTCTTAGAAAAGATTTTGTTCCTGGAGAAAAGTTTTAATA